ATAACCTAGCTAGGGTTGTAGTAAAGTGGCTCGGTCGTATTTCAAGGGAACCCTAAACATACTATTACGTCGCTCCGAACTACTATCTATTCAAATCAAAAGTTTGGTGAAGAATCGAACCTAACATGCTCCTAAACAACCAACCAAGTGGTTGGAAGATCTCTAGATATGAGATGGTTACCTAGGGTTAACTCCTCCTAGCTATGGTTGTCATGTTCGGTCGCCTCGTCACCACAAGACCCTATTCATTCATCTAACCCTAATTTGCCAGATGGCGCATACCCGTCTAACCTTAAAATTCCATACCTAGCGTAGAAGCTCAAGTAGGCTAGAAGAGAAGATTAAAACGACTTACCCAAGCACAATTAAAGCTTGATGAAGCATTAAAATCAACTAGACAAACACATTCATTCGAAACCCATACATATATACACAACCTATAAACTAGGGTTCATCTTTCATAAACAACCATTAGAGATTCAAGTCATAGAGAGAGAAAAAAAATCACAAACTAGAAGAGATGGAGTGATGAAATCAACTTCTTCTCCTTGCTTGCACCTTCTTCTTGCTCCTTGGGTGGATTGGATCTTCAATGAAGCTCACCCAAGGTGTTGTACTCTCTAAAACCACTCCAAAATCCTAACTTTCTCACTCTAGGTCGGCTCTCCTAAAGTGGGCGAAGAGATCCTATATTTATAGACTTCAGGAGGACAGACAAATTCATTGCCGAGCAGGGGGAATTGACGAACGTGATCATTCCCTTCGAGCCCGCGATTTTCAGGAGTCAACGTTTTGGTCTTCATCTTAGAGGAGTTAGCAGGCTGACTGCATGGTCGCGATCCGTGAGTCATGGCCGTGTGGGAACGTATGGACGAGGAGCAAGTGTGGTTGGTCTCGGCTTTTCGAATCACCCAGTCACCCTTTCTCTTCATATTTGCAGCCCGCAGTTGCCACGTACAGCCCTCTGCATCATTCTTGCATATGACATGTAATTGTTTAATGTCAGAATATTTTACCTTCCACTCGAAATTGCGCCTCAAGGCCTCTTCGGTAAAGGCATCATGCACAGCGTCCTTCGATGAGAACGTCATACCCACCTCCAAATTGGCCGTCGGATTATACACTGGCATAGGGACAAAGTCGGGGGCATCATTCTGACTATGTAGAAATTGAGTTGGAACCTGTGTGTAGTATGGCGTGGGTTCCTCATGAAATGTCGCCTCGTCGTCGTTATCATCAGTATCTTCCTCCTCGCTCACTGATCTCAAATCTTCCTCAGTATCCTCGTCGCTTGAGTCAAATGGATATCTCGGCCTAGAAGGATCAACATTACCACCATCACCAACATCGTCTTCTCGCTCATGTGAAGTACGCCCTGCTCGAATGGTATTCTCGATTTCAGCCTACTCAGGCCCCCAAGCAGACCATTGAACGCCATCGGCAGGTTGATCCTGTTGCGAGTATTCTTCCGACGGCACCCATCCTGCACTACTACCTCCACCGTAGTTGATTGAACTACCACCCTCTCCATAACCTCCTGTATAACCACCTCCTTCGTAGTTGCTCAAACTACCACCCCATTCGTACCCTCCTGCAAAACCATCATCATAAGAATACTGGTGAGAATGAGTTTCACCGACCGCCTCGGTCTCAACATACACCTCTGCAAACCGCATCCCGTTATCGCTTAGGAACTGTAACATCATCGTAACCGCGTCATCATCGTTTATGACAACTTCTTGGTACACAACCCCGCCAGCACTCATGTCTGGATACCGGTAACTAATTTTGCCAAGTCTAGTCTGTCCGCTCGTACAAACCCTGTCTGCACAAATATCACGGAGTTCTTGAAAATTGAATCGCGACTCAATTTTTAGCATAGTGGATTCACCGTTTTCATAATCAATCCCTATGTCAGAGTTTGTCACCCTTCCATTCCACCGAATAATAAGCCGAAACTTCTTGAATTCACCCATATGTACAATTTACAATAAGTTAAACTATTAGCTTAAAGACAGTAAAATTATCCAAAACCATATTGTACGACTAATATTACTCTATCTCAAAACTAACGTAACATAAATTCAACTAACTAACAACAGCATAAATTCAAAAATTAAGTACTACAATTGCTACGATAAGTAATTCATAACATAACAATATAACTACTAAAAACATCATTAGGCTATAATACGAAAATTAAATCATACTATAACTACTAAAAACCCATCATTAAGCTATAATACGAAAATTAAATCATACCGAAAATTCCCCGCCTGTGTATTATGCTCGGTTTTGGTTGCTGAAAATTGAAGAGGGGGGAGTGGTTATGTTTTTATAATTGCTGGTGGCCTGGTATTTATAGGAAAATCTGCCTACTATTCACCGTTTTTGTCAAACACAGTGAACACCATCACCGCGTTTGTCTCAAACGGTGAACATTAGGTAGCTCTTACCTAATTTTCACCTAACAGGGGTTGAAAACGTGCCTAATACTCACCGTTTTAACCTAGAACGGTGAAGGTATTCACCGTTTTGCCCTAAAATGGTGATTGGTTCACCGTTTTAGAGAAAAACGGTGAATATTTCACCGTGTTTGTCAAACGCGGTGATAGTCTTCACTGCGTTTGTAAAAAACGGTGAATACCAAACATGTGTAGTTTTGGAATTTTTTTTATAACTTATGTATTTTGGAATTTTTTTTAAGAACATGTGTACAGTGAGATTTTTTCCAAAATGACTTGTATATCTTACTTCAATATATATAAAGCTACATCGGAGTATGGGCTCGGTCATATGTGATCTCTTCTTACTGGGCTTGGGCCTGTTTGGACATTTTGTAACTTCTTCTACTTTTAACCATGCTGCAATTCTTGATTGTTGCTTTTTTCCCGACAGTTTGTCTCTAGCAAAACAAAATTGGATTAATTTACAGAACACACAATGGCAATTAAAGAAGGGGTTGAGTACCACACTCAACAATTATAATCCATTATGACTCTAAGTATGCAACAACAAAATTATGTAGCTGCATGCATGCAAGAATTTGATCAAAACAAGTTTTCTCTTTGTAATGGCAATTTGAACTCGTTTTGTTGGGTATTATCCGACCTGATTCATGTTTAGGCGTTCGACTTACACAAATTCATGTCGGTTCATTTTACTTACACAAAAATTGTCAGACACTAACCCAATATGTGTCCGTTCTAACCCTAGGTAGTCTAGATAGCTAGGGTTTTGAAGAGTGTAGAATGGGCCTATATTAGAGATGTTTAATGGGCCCAAGATACTTTCCCAGAGAAGTGATAAAATGTTTTGTGTATTAGATATCGGTTTGTTAATGGTTTTTTTAACTTTATAATACCAGTTAAACCAATAAAACGTGAACCACTTATTATACCAACTTATACTCCAGTTCGGTTTTAAAACATTCGAAAATTTAAATTTATGAAGTCCAATTTGAAAAAGTACTTCTTATCAACGAGTAATGGTTTCTTGCAACTTCTTTTTTCTATAACAAAGGCACACACCCCGCAGCAATGTGCGGGCTCTTCTCTAGTTTTATCTAAAAGCGATTGTGATCACATAATCAATATATTATTTCGTCCACTGAATTCTTAAGTTGATCACTGAAACAAATTGATGAATTAGGATCGTCAATCGACATTACAAAACGTGATTTGTAGCTCGTACCATACCTTGATCGAGTACCCGTAAGAGTCAATATGTTTTTTATTTGGTTTTGAAAATATGAAATAGTTTGAACTCATTTCTCCATTATCTAATAGGCTAATGAGATCATTTTGGTTAGAAGCCCTTATCTTTATTTTTATGCGGTCGCAATCACATCTTGCTTCTTTATTCACCCGATTCGATTAAGAGAATTGATACTACTACAAGTTCTGTTCCTACATCTATGTAGCGATTTGTATAGATAGAATCACTTGTATAATATTAAATTGATTAAATAGAACCTAGTAAAATAGCCGATAAGAGCGATTTGTATAGATCGAATCACTTGTCTAATATTAAATTGATTAAATAGAACCTAGTAAAATAGCCGATCAGAGCATTTCGATAACATGAACATGTGTGCTTTGTTATATTCTAGAGGGGAAAACTTGACCTGTAATTATCCTCATAAAGCTAGAGCTGAGAGACTTGAGAAGTTGGCTCCCCTTTGACAGACTAATTTCTACGTGCATCATATGTGGGCATGTGCCACCTATCCGACTATTCCTGAGCCACCCCCCTCAAGTTGATGCTTATAATGGCAACAATTGTATATGTTCACAAGCAAAGTCAAACATTATTAAAATATATAGCACCAGTGTTAAATTCATAATCCCAATCAAGAGAATAATTGGCCGCCATTGATGTGCAGTAGTAGCTAGCATCACCTTGTAATTTGGCCATTGTACGTGGAATGGTAAACAGCAGAGAATTAAGGAATTATGTAGAAGACGAGTAAAGTAATTGGGCGAAGTTGATGGGCCGGGCAAAGAAAGTTGAGAATAAAATAATATGTACAGTCCATATGGGTCCAATCCCCAGTCCTGAATCATTTCTACTGTAATCACAGAGCATTATGGGCAAGTGGAGAAGGGGTTTTATTCATATTGCAATTCGGAAACTGGTGACTGAGAAAGTTGACTCATAAACAAAATGGTGACAAAAATAGAATCATGGTAAGCTACTTATTACATGAAGCAGACTGTGTTTACTGCTATAAAACAACAGTAGGGAGACTGGAATTTCAGGTTTTCACACCATAGCTTTGTGACAGTGATGAGTAACTTTCTTCCAAAAAGCTAGACTAATTAGGTGTTGTTTGATTGCCGCTAATGATTAAACGGATATGTTCATTGTACGCGCAATATTCATTGACAGCCAAGAAGCTAAGAGAGATCAGCAATGATGGATGGATGGGGGTGATGAGGGAATAAGAATAAAATGAAGAGAGCAAAAGACACTGTATGTGTTGTGTGTATTAACAGTCTATCTGTCATTCAACTTTATATATGATTCATTCATTCATTTTGTATATGGTACAAATTACAGGAAGCAAGCCTAGCCTCATCATCCGCAGGTTTACAAAATGCCCAATTAACATCTGAAACTAGAAACAGAAAATTAAAAACTAAACACAAAAAGGGTAAAGAAAAGAAGAAAGAGGTGTAAGTAATATGAAGTAAGTAAGGAAATGAACTTGTTGGCTTGGGCCTTTTGGTCTCTGGAGAGGGCTGTGTATACCTATGTGTTGTGTGTGTGTTTTCTTTTTTACCTATGCTGTTGGCTGTATATTATATATCAAGTAGACAATCCAAAAACTTTTTGCCTACTCAACTTAACAAGGGGAAATTTCACGTTGTTTGTGTACTTGTCTTGTATGGGTTAGGGAGGAAATTAAACTTGGTTAATCAGGTTGTTGGCGATGGTTGATCAGAACTGCGAGATGCAGCGCCTGTGACAAGCCGTGGTCCGCCTGTTTTGGTGCTTGGTTTCGGCTTTCCAGACCTGGCTGATGTCGTCTGCGATCTTGACGGCGTCCGCAGAAGCACCAGAGAGGCCTCTCTTGGTGAAGCCAACGGCGTAGAGTCCCGATTTCCCTTTCCAGGCGTTGGGGAAGGGGGCCTTGGGGAACCCATTCTTGGCAAACAAGTCGGCCTCCTGAAGCCAGTAAGGGACGTTGCTGCGGTATCCCGTCGCCATCACCACGGAATCCACGTCCAGGGTCTCGCCATTGACGAGCTCTACCTGCCCGTACCTGAATCTCTTGATCCCGGGCACCACTTGGATGTCTCCCGATTTGATCTTCTCCAGGGCGCCGATGTCGAGAACAGGGGTCTTTCCTTGCTTGTTCTTCAGGGTCAATGGCCCCACCGACGGCCGCTTCAGGCCGTAGTTCTCGATGTTTCCGATCACCAGCCACGTCAGGATCAGCAGGATGGTGTCGACGAGCCAGAGTGGGAGCCAGCTCATGAGCAGAGCCGCCAGCTGGAAAGTGGATTTGCCGAATATTTCTCTGGGTAATACGTGAACCTGGAGAGAGGGAACCATTAGCTCGATTAGCATCGATCTTCTTCCTGTTTGATGAAATGCCTGACCCAATAATTCTAACGATCGAGAGGAAACCCTTTTAATTAAATGATTTGCTTACCGAGCTGCGAACAACCATGGAGGGCGAAGCATTGTGGTTGGAGAGATCAAGGGAAAGCTCCATCCCTGAATTCCCGCAGCCGACGACCAGCACCTTCTTGCCTCTGTACTTTTCCCCGGACTTGTAGTCGGAAGCGTGAATGACCTCCCCGCCGAACTCGGCCAGCCCGTCGATGTCGGGCATCACGGACTCGGCGTTCTCGCCGGTGGCGACGACGAGCCAGCGGCAGATGTACTCAACCTCGGTGCGAGTCTTGACCCTCCACAGGCCGCTGGTCTCGTCGTACCTTGCGGACTGGACGCACTCGTTGAACTTGGGGCTGATCTGGAACTGCTGGGCGTAGGATTCCAGGTAGTGGATGAACTGCTTCTTGGTTGGGTACTCGGGGAAGTCCTCCGGGAAAGGGAGTTTGGGGAGCTGGCAGAACTGCTTGGGAAGGTGGAGCTTGAGGCGGTCGTAAGTGCGCTTCTGCCACAGCGAGGCAATGCAGTCCTCTTTCTCCAGGACCAGAAAGGGGACGCCTTGCTCTCGTAGGCAGGCCGCGGTCGCCAGCCCCGAGGGCCCGGCCCCGACGATGATTGGGCCGTTAACCCAAATGCATCGGCGGGAGAAGAAATCCTCGTTATTGTTATCGGCGAAGCGAAACAGATTCTCCATTTGTGGGTGGCCGGGATTGAAATTTAGAGCTGGTGGTTTAAGTGTTTGAAGAAATGCGTATGAGAATTAGATGCAGAGAGAGTTTTGTGTTGTAGGTGTGTTGGTGAATATTGTTGTAAGGAAGGACTAAAGGAGTGAATGATTGGTTTTAGTTTTGAATGAATTTTGGGAGGGAGGAAGGGGCGTATAAATAGGGAAGAAGAGGAGGATGGAGAAATGGCTGGCATGTGATCATCAGTTGGGAGAAGTGTCTTATTCTCAAATCATGAGCCCAGTGTAGTGTAGTTTAGTGGCTGCCTGGGATTATTTTATTTTATTTTATTCCTGAGGGATATTATTATTAATAAGAAAATCATTTTGTTAGAGAGCTTAATCAATGAACCAGGATCCTGAATTAGTTTAATCCGAATTTGATACCCATTTTCGGGTGTCACTATCACAAGGGCATGTGATGACTTGGTTTCTCTGCATAATAAGGGGGAAAGGGGAAGGGAGGCTTACATTACATCACACAGTATTGTGAATATATTAATTGTTATTAGTGTGGCTGTGGGAGTGGGAGGGATTACACAGCCAATTTTACGGCTCCTCCATTACCCATTTTGCTCATTGACCACAAGAGGACTACATGTGACCGTCTTTTTTCTTCACCCACGACCACGAGAGTGGACTTCTTCGATCACTTTGTAAACTTACGGGAGAAACAAGACCAGAACCTGAATCCAAGAGGTTGACCTCGATTTTTTATGCTTCACACACAAGGATTAATTTTATCGGAGTAAAAACCCTCATTTGTGGAGGAAATGTTCTATTTATAACACTGTTGGCTTTCATTGACTGTATATACAAATGATTATTATTATTATAATAATCATTTTCATACTGTTGTAACTATTAGAAACAAACAATTCTACTTGCAAAGTTGCAATCAATTATGGATATCTAATATCCTCCTTAATCCGTTTAGTATAGGAAAATCCCTACATTTGATGTGGATGAGGCGAGGTACCCGCAAAAAGTGTCGGATGAGTCGGGGGATGGATTAAGATGTATGTGCCCATCGTCATATTCATACAAATTCATGTTTGTTTCTTATACTACATACTAACGACAAAAGTTTATGCAGTTACGGTTAATCGTGTTAAGTTTTACTGTTCACCATTATCAATAATTTTATTAATTGATAGTGTAGCATTATTGTTATTAGAATAATAATTTTCTTCGAGAGCTGAATAAATGTACAAGGATCCCATTATCAAAATAAATGTACAAGGATCCATGATTAGTTTAACGGGAATTTAATACCACTTTCGGATGTCACTATCACAAGATATGTGATTTGTATTTGGTTCTCTGTGTAATAAGAGGGGAGGCTTACATCACATATTTATTGTGAATACATTAATTAATAGTGTAGCATTACACAGCCCATTTTACGGCTCCTCCTTTGCCCATTGCTCATTGACCATAAGAGACTACATGTGACCGTCTTTTTTCTTCCAAGCAGCCTACCCTTGACCATCCGAATGTGCTTCTTCACTGAATTAAAGAGGTTGACCTCTATTATTAAATGATTTTCTATGCTTCACACAAGGATTAAGTCATTATATGATTTTTTTTTTCTTACTAAGCTTGCAAAAGGCATACATCAATTTTACCGAAAACGCTCCTGAACTAATTTGTGTTTATTTAGAACACCAGTGGTTTTGTTATCATGAAACCTATGAAGAATTTACTAATGAGAATTTGTTGTTACATTGTTTAGCCTCAAGATTTTACTAATAAGAAATTGATGTTACATTGTCTAACTGTATCATCAGATTAAGTAAATACATAGCAGGCCTATCCAACCAAGTAATTCTCTCATCCAACCTCTTTTTCGTATGAGGCATAATATGAGCAACTTTATTAGCATTTCAACGAACATGAGCCCACGTACCTTTCCTCAATTCTTGCACAACGCATACGAATGTTATGACAAACAACCCCGAACATCTTTTGCAACTCCTCCGCTATAGTAGTTCTGGATAAAGGAAAGAGAATTTGATTCTAAGATAGGGCGGGTCACCTGGAATTGTTTGGCAAGTTGAAGCTCGAACTCCACCCCTAGTGCCTCACCCATCTCCATGCCATGGCTTCCTTAAATCCTTTTTGTTGCCACTAACTGCACGATGGTCGGGCGAACAGAGATCTTCCTAGTGGAGACACTTTACTTGTCAGGACTGAGCGACGCATTGGTACATGCATAGATGGTCTCCAACCTTCAACCCTCTTCAGACCAGTGGTAGAGGAGGTTGGTGAGTCTTCATAGAGGGCTCCAATACCATGCTAACGTGACCATACTGGCACTTCATCATCATCATCCAGAGTCGGTCCCTCTTCCTTGGGCAACATTGTGGCACAAGTCACTATTCTAGAGGACTTAGCCAGATTCTCATCCCAAACCGCCCGAAAGCGTGATTCCCGGCATGGCGGCATCATTTGCACCGCATGGAGGAGGTGTTCCTACGTGCCCATGCTATCTAGTGCTAGTCTAGGATGTTGCAGATTGATGTTTTTTAATTCTATGTGAGTGATGCGTATGGTTAATTATATATTGATTGAAAGTTTTTCCATGAAAATTGAGTGTCCTTGATCAAATCCCACAATTTTGGGGCAAATTGACCTAAGAGGGAGAAGATCACCTTATGTCAATTTGGGTCACTATTCAATCAACGTCAAGAGCCATGAATCACGATAATTGATATCTTTACACCGTACACCTCTCCGATTAGATTGATTAGGTGGGTTAGGATGCACTCGAATAGGGGGTTCTAACTATATTAGATCTCCGAATGCTATATATAGAACTTGCCTAGTATACTAGAGTCTCATCATCTCATCTCCACATGGGACTAGATGGAATATCATCCGAGTGGAGCCTTCTTATCTTGGATTCACCTTCGTTTTAGTTGTTTGTTTGCTTAGTTTGATAGTTCTTAAACAACGTTTTAATCGCTAGATAACATGTGGTATACTGAAGTAATTAAGGTTAGACAAACCGCTCGGGTTGATAATTGAAAATCTAACTGCCCCATACTACACTGTCGTAGGATTATATTTGGCATATGGTGGGACTATATAATATGTCGTGAATCAAGAACATAGCCGCTAAAAAATATATGAAGGAAAAATAGGACAAAAGGGAGCGATTTAATTTCCAGCATTAGCGCCTTTAGATATGTGCATATGGGAGCCAGTCATCGAGGATGTCCATCACATTCTATTAGGTGGTTGCGTCACATATATCATGGCCACACAGACTACATGAAGCAGTTCATAGTGTTTATGTACATGGATATGTCAAGTTTCATGCTGAAAATTAATTCTAATCTACTAAAGAAACAAAAAATCACTATCCTAACATTAGGTATTAACTAACTTAACGTTCATCGTGTATGGATGTAGTGTCATTGTATCATTATTGGGATAAGATACAATTTTTAGATCATCTATAGGAGACACCTATATTTTGACCGGGCATGTCACTGATTTTCTATCGAGTAGTGACATGGAACCACCATGACCTTGCGTTGAATTAGGGTTTTAATCCTACATCTTTATAAGCATAGCTATGAGATTGTCGTAAGCAAGCCGTCAAGATGTAATCATAATATGAAGTTCACCTACATTGAAAATCATCCATTATATGTGTTGAAGATAACCTACATGTTAGTTGAACTTCTCGTTATTGTTGTTCTTCCTTAATATAGCCGACAACTGCTTCAGATCGATGACTAATCTGTTCCTCATTCATAATTTTGGGGCAGGTCATGGTTGTGGAAATGAGAAAGCTTTTACCAAAGTGGGGGATCAAAAAAGAATTTTTTTTATAAATTTACATGAAAAATAGAAAGGTCATAACAAGAATAAAAAAAAATACCATTCCATTTAGTATTCATTTGGACTACATTTATGGTATTTGAAGAAGGACATACCCTACTATTCGTATTTTTTTCAAACCAAACAGAATATTTGTTGTACTTAAATATCACGTTGCATGAAAATTATGACAAAATACTACACTAAAGTGTGCAATTCAAACCATGCATAAACTTATATTAAGTGGCGGAGCCAGAAATTTGAATAAAGGGGCTAAAAGATATACAATGGAGTGGTTTGAACCATGATCATTGGTGAGAGGAGCTAGTAATTTACCAACTAGTCAATTTTTAAAATTTGTTATACATTTTCCATATAAATTTACCTATTTTCGAAAGTTGAGTGGGGCTATAGCCCACCCTGATCTTAACGTGGCTTCGCGCCACTGCTTATATCCATATCCAAATAAAGGAGGAGCAGCTTCGTTCTGGCTGCGTCAAAAAGCTATATCCTTAAGAACAACAAAAAAGAAAGCGATATTCTTTATGAACATAAAGGTTAAAAAAAAATGTATTTGGCTACAACGAATGGAAAGCTAAAAAGTGAGATTGTAAAGTAGTGATCACATTCAGACGCCAACGAGGTACGCGGTTGGGTTAGTACGTAGGTTAGTGCTAAAAGCTAAACTCTTGGTATGATGGCATGCACACAAAGTTTTTATTTTATTTTATTTTATTATTTATAATTAATGAAAGAGTGGCTGGAATTTGCGAAAAGAAGAGTGAGCTGTTACATTGAACTTTACTGCCAACATATGCTGGGCCTTGGGGGTCTAAATTTAATTAGTCGAAACTTCATTTGTAGAGCAGCCAACTCGATGAATCAGTGACTCACTGTGCTTTTTCTCGATTTTTGGAGAGGGATTCCCATTCCCTTTCCCTTTCCCTCCTCTCTACTGTGCTGTAGCTAGGGAATGAATGAATGTGTGGTTAATCTTCTACAGCTATGCCTTAACTATGATTACAGAAACAAGTAGCCCTTTTGACATGCGTGTAGTATTGTATTATATATTAGGGCGAAGAAAACGAGTAGCTAGCTTTCGGTTCCACGTCTTCTTTTGTGAAACACGTCTTCAGTCCTCTTAGTTTAATGATGATGCAGAAAGCTAGCCAGCGCCAAGAAATGGTTTAAGTAATTGGAAAAGAATGGCCCTGGTGCTGGTGGGTTATGGAAAATT